CACAGTGAGAGTGTGGGATACTGCATTCACAGTGAGGGTGAGGGTGTAGGATACTTTATTCACAGTGAGGGTGTGGGTGTGGGATAATGTATTCACAGTGAGGGTGTGGGATACTGTATTCGCACTGAGGATGTGGGTGTAGGATACTGTATTCACAGTGAGGGTGTAGGATACTATAATCACACTGAGGGTGAGGGTGTGGGATACTGTATTCACAGTGAGAGTGTGGGATACTGTATTCACAGTGAGGGTGTAAGATACTGTATTCACAGTGAGGGTGTAAGATACTGTATTCACAGTGAGGGTGTGGGATACTGTATTCACAGTGAGGGTATGGGAAACTGTATTCACAGTGAGGGTGGGTGATACTGTATTCACAGTGAGGGTGAGGGTGTGGGATACTGTATTCACAGTGAGGTTGTGGGTATGAGATACTGTATTCACGGTATGGGTGTGTAATACTGTATTCACAGTGAGGGTGTAGGATACTGTATTCACACTGAGGGTGAGGGTGTGGGATACTGTATTCACAACGAGGGTGTGGGTGTGGGATACTGTATTCACAGTGAGGGTTTGGGATGCTGTATTCACACTGACGGTGTGGGTGTGGGTGTGGGATACTGTATTCACAGTGAGGGTATGGGATACTGTATTCACAGTGAGGGTGAGGGTACGAGATACTGTATTCACGTTGTGGGTGTGGGGTACTGTATTCACAGTGAGTGTATGGGTATAGGATCCTGTATTCACAGTGAGGGTGTAGGATACTGTATTCACAATGAGGATGTGGGTATAGGATACTGTATTCACACTGAAGCTGGGGGTGTGGGATACTGTATTCACACTGAGGGTGTGGGTGTAGGATACTGTATTCACAATGAGGGTGTGAGTGTGGGATATTGTATTCACAGTGAGGGTGTGGGTATGAGATACTGTATTCACGGTATGGGTGTGGGATACTGTATTCATAGTGAGGGTATAGGTGTATAATACTGTATTCACAATGAGGGTGTGAGTGTGGGATACTGGGATAATGTATTCACACTGAGGGTGTGGGTGTAGGATACTGTATTCACAGTGAGGGTGTAGGATACTGTATTCACAGTGAGGGTGTGGGTGTAGGATACTGCATTCACACTGAGGGTGAGGGTGTGGGATACTGTATTCACACTGAGGGTGTGGGTGTAGGATACTGTATTCACAATGAGTGTGTGGGTGTGGGATACTGTATTCACAGTGAGGGTGTGGGTGTGGGATACAGTATTCACAGTGAGGGTGTGGGTGTGTGATACTTTATTCACAGTGAGG